TATGTAAACCTGCTTTGCATTATTTCACGCCAGCACTGCAGCGTAAACGAGCAGCGTATGCTACGTGAGGTTCTTACTCTAATCCATGGTAATGATCTGTCCTTGGCGTTAATACATGGTGCAGCAATGCAAAGTTTGCAGTAACCACTACTGAAGATTTCTCAGCCCTCAATCTCTGTGTTGTATTCTCATAGTTAAGCATCTGTGATAATAATAATTATTTAAATTGATAGCGTTTCCATCAGGCCTTCCATCTGAGGATGTCTCGGGGTTTCACAGCTATACAGAAGCAAGCCCTACAATTTGCCCTTGTGGAGCAGATGGCTTTTTTCTATTATGGAGATGAGGAACTGAAACACAGTTCAGAAGCGTGTCTTATGATGCCAGGCTTGTTTTTAAAAGTAACATCGTTTTTTGGGTGCTAGAATTCCATCAGCTCTCAATAGCCTAAAGCGATTTGAGCGCGTTCACCGTTTTTAACTTGTGTGCAGTGGAAAGGCTCAGAGAGAATCAGGAGTCTGAACTTAAGTCAAACAGCAATCCTTTCCTCAACAATTGATTGTTTTTGTTAATTTAACTATTTCTTTTGCGTACTAGAGGAATAAACCTGATAGAATAAGAGCACTTTCCAAATCTAAGTTCTCCTGTAATGGAGATGCCTTCTGGGCTTGGGAGGGGAGTCTTGAAGTTCCCTCTTTTGCCAAACCCTGGATGTTTTGTTGATTCCTGGGTAGGTTGTGTGGCTGCTCCTGAGTTGTGTGGTGCTCGGTCTGTGCTGCTGTTTGCACCCAAACCAGTTGGAATAAACTGGCTTCCCATCCTGTGCTGGCCACATTGCGGGGTGCCCATGGTGTGGGGGGACGTATGGAAGCGCCGTGGAAGAGCCACCTGAACCCTCCAAGTGTAGGGAGAGAGAGTAGGGATGTTTTTAATGGAGGGGAACCCCATGATGCTCTACATGGGCAAACCAGGGATTAGGCAAGGAGGAATGTCAGGGCCAGCAAATGGGCTCTCTTTCTGTCCATACCTTTTGTTGGTAAGAGAAAAATCAGCCAGCTGGGGGGAGCCTGGGTTTGTGCAGCCCCTGCCCAGGAACGCTGACCCCAGGGCTGGGGCCACCTGGGTGACCAGGCAGCTGAGCAAGCCTGTCCTCCCTCTGCCACCACCTCAAATGTGGCTCAGCTCAACCTCTGGCAGGAGTGTAATATTTCCAGTGAGCTTTGAGCAGGGAGATGGGGGAAAGCGTTTGCAGGGACTGCGAAATTTTGTCTGGTTGCTTTTATTTCTATTAGCAAAATAACTTTGAAATAATAAATATATCAATGTCATCCGTGTATGCCGAGATGACAGTGCTGCTTACTCCTGGCAATCTGTGATGTGCTGTTTGTCTTCTTTCTAAGAGAGATCACATTTTTTAAGACTTCATTTTATTGTTTTAGCTTCATGAGTATATTCCCGAACTTGGCTCATGTTATCTGGAAGGTAAACAGAGAATGAAGTATGATTTATACTGCAGTTTGGCAAAATTGCTCTTATTAGAAGGAAAAATACATTTATTGAATGCATTGAGGCTGGAATTAGCTCCTCAGTGATGATGATAAATGCTTGCAGTCCCGTAAACGTGCTGAACATTAAGTTGCTAAATTACTGTACCATTTTAGATTGATTATCAAGTTTGGCCCTTTAAGCTCCATGACCCGCACATATATCCTGAGGACCACTGACATTCTGAAGCTTCCTTAATGTTCTTTTTTTCCTAATTAAACTTTTTATTGAATTTTCTTACCCTTTTAATACTTGTTTTGATTCTCTTATGTGCAAATGACAAAAGCCTTGCACCAGCCATGTGATTCTCTATTTTACAACAGTCCCACTTTGCAGGATTAGCCATTTTTAATGACTTTAATCTCCTTTTTGAAAGTGATTTTTCTCATTCTGCTACATTCCTTTGATTGCATTAATGTAGAATTATTATTCTAACCATCATTGCCAGACATGTCACACCACATCTAAAATACATCTTCCCACTAAAATATTAGTCTGGTAAAATACCTTAGAATTTCCTTCTCAGTTCATTATAGGTCTTTTCTTCAATTTAATATGGCAAGTTAAAATTAACTGGGCTATTTTTCATTCCATAAAGAGATTAATGATAATGAGTTTTCCCTAATTTCTTCAGTTTAGGCCTTTAGTAATTTACTATCTTGTTTGTATAGGAAGTCAAGGTAAGTTGTTTCTGGGGCTTAAAGTTTCCTAATTCTTTTTAAATTGTAAAAGTATGAGAATAAAAAGAATGTAGAAGTTAAACAAGAAAATCGGCGAAAGGTCTAAATCAAGCTAACAAAAGGAGACAATCTTTGCTTTCAGCTGTCTATGTAAATGCTTCCATTTTTATTACAAACCCAGCTTTTCAATCTGAGAAATGTTAATTTTTTTTGAATCCAAATTATATTAGCACAGCAAGGTCTTTGTGCATCACTCACAAAGTAATACCAGCTTTCTTTGATTTTGTTTTCTGAATAGCCCAATATGTTTGAAGAGCAGCAGCTGGAGGGGAACTGGCCCTGCTTGAATGTTAGAGGGCATTTTGAGGTAGATCGGTTTGTTTCAGAGGAAAAAGAGGCCTTCTGAAAGATTTGTTCGATTTGCACGGTGGGCCAGTGTAATGGTTGGCACAAGCACATATGGATGTAACGAAGTTAAAGCAGTTGGCCCAGCCTGTGTTACCACTGGATTTGGCCCATGGCATCTACGGTTTCAAAGCTGAACAATGAAGCTTTATTCGCTGGAGCCGGTTTAAGTGCTCGGGTTCTCCCCGGCGCGGTCCTTCCGCTGCCCGGCGCAGGGCGCGAGTACCCTGCCTGCAAAAGGCAAGATATTTAAAATGCATGCATTTTTATAATAGTTCCTGCGAAGGGGACATTTTAAATTATTTTAATTACACCCAGTAAGCCCGAGCAGTAAATAACACAATGGTGGTGTGCTTTTTTCCCCCTGTCGTTGTTGTTTTTCTTCTTCCCCAGCTTCCCCCCCCCCCCCCCTCCCCAGTAGACAGCAGTAGCGGTAGCAAACGCAACATGTGCTGCCCTAGTTCAGGCCCAGCATCCCCCCTCTTGCTCCCCTTTGTCTCCTTTCCCCTGGAGGAGCCCAGCTGGCGAGAGGAGGGAATTAGCCAGCCCTGAGCTACCGGCACCTCCCCGGGGCCCCTAATCCAGGCGCTGGCAGCCGGCTGCCTCCTTCCCT